GACTGAGGGTGCCCTCGATCCCCTCGTCCAGCTCGTTTTTAACAATATTAAACAGAATGACAGCGGCAGACCCCAGCCCTTCACCCTGGCTCGATGCAGTGGGAGCGCTGGGTGGCTGGGGGTACCCCAGCATCTCCCATGACCATCCTATGTGCCCCCAGACCTGAACCCTCAACCGGCTGCTTGATCAACCCAGGAACAGGCACCACGCACAGCCAAGCCAGGGTTTCCAAACCACTACAGGAGCCGTAGCACGACCCATCTCCCCCAAAAAACTGATATCAATCCCCAGGAGCCGTGGTCTGGGTGGGTTCACACACGGGTGTCCAAGAAACAGCAGCGAGCTCAAGGGGGGAACCCAGTTCTCCCAGCGTATTTATCTTTCTGACTTAATATTCAGCCAGCTCTCAATTTTGACACCATCCATCCATTTGTAAATCTAATAAGATATTCCATTTCAAAAAGATCCGTTGGAATCTTGGGTTCCAGCAGCATTAATATTAAAAATGTATCGAATGTGGAGTTTGTTTGAATGCAAACACGTTTCCGAGCCAGCAGCTGGAGATAAACCCCTTTGCCAGCTCCCCGGGTACAGAAACAAGTTATTCCCGCAGGCAGCGACCAATTTCATACGGAGATTTTCCTTCTCTGCTACATCAGATCCCAGCAGCGGAGTGGGGGGAACAAGGGGGGGATGCTGAACCCCACATCTCCTGGGCTGGGCTGGGACCATTCCCAGGTCCATGGCACCAGCTGGGATGCTGATCCCAATGCTGTGGGGAAGGAGCCCGATGCTGAGCACATCCGGGTGGCTTTAGTCACACGGGGGGTTGTGGCACATCCCTGCCCACATTTGGCTGCCGGGAGTTGCCAGCTGGCACGAATTAATTAATGGCAGATGAGAATTGAATGCGGTTGGGTGGTTACAGCCTTAACCGCCTGGTTAATTGGGGCCGGGGTGCTCAGCGCTGCCCGAGGGGGTTTGCAGGGAGCACAATAGAGATTGGATAAAAATGAGCCTGTGACTTTGTTGAAATTGCTGGTTTTCCCCATGTTTTAGAATCACAGAATCCCGGACTGGTTTGGGTTGGGAGGGACCTTAAAGCTCATCCAGTCCCAACCCCCCTGACATCAGCAGGGACACCTTCCACTAGACCAGGTTGCTCAAAGCCTCACCCAGCCTGGCCGAGAACACTTCCAGGGAAGGGGCAAAACCTAGAGATGGGGAGGAGGGCTCGGTCACCCCGCTGTCCATGCGGGTGTTGGCTGAGGGGATGGGATATTTCCCATTTCATCCTCCCCCAGCCCCAGGTGGGTGGCGAAAGGGCTGGATCCAGGAGATGTGAGCAGGGAGTATGGCTCTCCCACAGCCCCCATGGGACCAGATCTGCACCAGGAGGAGCATTCACCCTGAATTTATCCGGGCTTGGAGGTGGCTTTTTACAGCAAGGACGATTGTCCCCACTGCCACGCTGGACCAGGGACCTGGGGGAGATGCTCTGTCCTGGAGGAGATGCTCTGAATTCAGGTCAGGAGGGAGCAGCAAGTGCGGTGCCCACCCCAAATCCATCCCTGAGTGGCCACGCACCAGGATGAGCATTCCAGCTTCAGTGGGAGCTGGATTTGGTGACACGATGCTGGTGTGGGGACCAGGGACTGGGGACCATCTCAGCCTCTTCATGGGCTGGTGCAGGGACAAAGCCCATCCCCACACATGGGATGAGACTGGTCCCATTCCTGCACCCGAAGGTTGTGAGTGCTGCAGCCCCATGAGAGCTGCAGCAGCTCTGATCTCAGTGTCCCTGTCCCTCTCGCAGCCCTGGCCAGGGTACAGCCCTCTCCCCAGGGCTGCCAAGGGGGACCGCTGGTGGCACAGGGTGGCACATCAGTCCCCAGCACATCTGTCTCATTGGGGATGGAAAAATGGGGCAAAACCCCCAACTCAAGGGATCCCTTCACCCCCCTGTGACCCCAGCATCGCTCCCGTTCCCAGCACTGGCCAGTGTTGGCCGAGGCCATTTCCCAGCGCTGGGACTGTCCCACCAGGAATGGTGACAGAAGCACTCACAGCTGTCTTCTTCCTCCAGGAACACTTTGCTGACATAGCAGGCGTAGACAAAGCCAAAGAGCTGCAGGATAAAAGCAGGCAGAGAGAAATCGGTTATCGGTGTGATGGGCAACGCGACCGGCACGGTGTCAGTGTGAGGTGGATGCTGTGAGGTGGATGCCTGGGAGCATACTGGGGGGACTGGGAGCATCCCGGGGGACATCTGGGCAGGATCAGGGCTGTCTCCAGTGCCAGAGCCCATCTCTGGTGGGTCCAGGTGCTGGTTTGGGATGCAGCAAGACTGGATGGTTTCATCTGTGGCCAGTGGTGGCCAGTGACAGGACAAGGGGCAATGGGCACAAACTGGAACACAGGAGGTTCCACTTAAACATGAGGAAAAACTTCTTTCCTGTGAGGGTGCCAGAGCCCTGGGACAGGCTGCCCAGAGAGGGTGTGGAGTCTCCATCTCTGGAGATGTTCAAACCCACCTGGACACTTTCCTGTGCAACCTGCTCTGGGTGACCCTGCTCTGGCAGAGGGGTTGGACTGGATGATCTCCTGAGGTCCTTTCCAACCCCACCAGTCTGTGATTCTGTGGGACAAGGGTGGTGGCTCTTGGGGGGACAGGTTGGCACCACACTGGGACGGCAGCACAGAGGGTGCTGAGCCCCCCATGGCACGGGGTGCCCCTTTGGCAGGTGCATGGCAGCTGCTCTGGACCCCAATTCCCTTTGAAGCTTTATTATCTTGCAGTCTCCCAAGGCTTTTCAGGAGCTTTGCATCCCAGGATGTCCCCTTCTCACCTCCCCATGGGGTGAGACAGCCAGCAGGAAGGGGGGACCCTCCCTTTCCAGCAAGCAGCACATCCCAGGAGCTCACACTGTGTGTGTCATACCAAGAACCCCCCATTCCTGCAGCATCCAGCCCACAGTCTGCCAGGTTTTGGGGTGGGCAGCACCCCTGGGGTGGTGGCATGGGCTCCATCTGCTCCTCTTGTCCCAGCCCTGGGACATTAATACAGTCACTGATGCCTGATGGCACGGTGGGACATCTCCAGCTGGACCGTGGTGGCTTTGCCCACCCCAGTCCCTGCCATCAGCCCCCCTCTGGCTTCCAAGTTCGGGATGGGGAGGGAAGGTGTCCTTACCGCCAGGAAGATCTGGGTGGCACTGCTCACTACCTCGATGTACTGGTAGGCGAGCAGGCAGCCGCTGAAGGCAGCCGCTGACGGTGATGACATGATGGTCCTCGGGCGCCAGGTTGGAGTTCATCACCGGCGTCACCAGGCAGCCTGGCCCGTTCTCCATCCACCACGAGCGGTGCAGTGAGGTATTGAAGGTCATGATGAAGTCTCGGTCCTGTGGGAGAGCAGTAGAGGAGGAGGCACAGACCGTGAAGCCGAGGTTCTTTGCAGAGGAGATGGACAGAAAATGGGTTTTTCCAACCCAGGGATGCTCATTGCACCCACCCAGACCTTGTCCATGCAGCATGGCCAACAAACCTCTGCATCTCCTTAACCCACAGCTGCTGTCCCCAGGGTTTGTGGCTTCCTTCCATACCAGTGTCATGGACCATTTGGTCAAGCAGCATTCAGGTGCACCATGATGCTCAGGTGACATCGCAGATGTCACAAGGTGGTCACCAGTGCAGCAGCTTGGCCTTGAGGCCGGGGAGCAGCCATTTGCCATGCTGCCAGCTGCATCCAACCATCCAAAAGGTGGGACCACCCCACCAGTGCAATCTGGGCACACAGGGCAATCCCCTCTGCTTCCCCTGGGGTCTCAGGGTGCCATCCTCCCACCCCCACCACTGTGGAGCTGTGCAGGGGCCTCGCTCACACACACTCCCTCCTCGTAAGCCCATTGCCAGGCTTTGGGGCTCTCCATGTTCCATCTCCATCAGCTTTTCGGTGGCAGCTTCCCTGCTGCAAGGCACGGCCATGGGTTGTCACCCATGGGTGACACAGAGCTCATCCCCCAGCCCCTGCCCGTGCCCTCCCCACCACAGGCTCAGGCGAGGCTGAGCAGGAGTTTGATAAAAGCAGGAGGATGGGGTCTGGGCTCCATCTCAGGGGGCACCACATCCCGGTCAATGTGGATGCCCCTGCCCATGGATCTGGCAGGGACACGAGGGCTGTGCACACTGGGATGCAGCCCTGGCACGGGGCTCGTACAGGCAGCGGTGGCACAGTGAGGTGAGCACCCATGGGGTGGTGGGTCCTCCCAGCATGGCTGGGTGAGCAGCCAGAGGATGGTGGATCCTTACAGCATGGCTGGGTGAGCACCCATCACACAGTGGGGTCCTCCTGGCATGGCTGGCTGAGCACCCATCTCATGGTGGGTCCTCCAAGCATGGCTGGGCGAACACCCATGGGATGTTTTTTTTTTTCCCCAGCACAGCGGGGTGAGCACCCATCACACAGTAGGATCTCCCCATCACAGTGGGGTGAGCACCCATCGCTTCTGGCATGGTTGGGTGAGCACCCACCGCAGGGAGGGTCCTCCCAGCCCCTCTCTGCATTACCAGCCCTTGGATCTGCGGGGGTGGGTGGGAAACCCAGTGCACATCCTGCGTAGGAAATCACCCATCTGGGATGACAAGATTTTTGTGGGCGGGGGCAGAAAAAAATAGAAAGAAGGTGGGTTTTGGTTTCTGAAAGCAAAGGCTGTGGGTTTGGTGCCGGGAAGCAGAAAGGGGGGGTGTTCTGGCACCCAGAGATTGGGGATTTCCACCAAAAACGCTTGGTGGGGGTGAACCCCCCCCTACAGCATCCTCCCCGCCTGCTACACGGATCTGGAGCTTTGGCTTTTTAGAAGAACCTCAAAGAGCTTCTAGCAACACAGGAAGGTGTTTTCGTCCTTGTGAACCCCCCAAAAAGCCCCTTTTTTCCCATGCAACGTGACAGGCTTGGGGAGGAGTGGGGGGAGAGCTGCTGGGCAGAGAGGGACCTGGGGGTGTTGGGCAACAGCAGCTGAACATGAGCCAGCAGAGTGCCCAGGTGGCCAAGAAGGCCAAGGGCATCCTGGCCTGGATCAGCACCAGTGTGGCCAGTAGGAGCAGGGAAGTTCTCTTCCCCCTGCACTGGGCACTGGTGAGGCCACAGCTGGAGTGCTGGGTTCAGTGTTGGGTCCCTGACTCCAAGAAGGACATGGAGGTGCTGGAGCGTGTCCAGAGAAGGGAACGGAGCTGGGGAAGGGTCTGGAGCACAAGTGTGATGAGTACCCTGTCCCAAACCTTCCTGCCATTGCTTGTCCCCTGTCACATGTCCCTTCTCCACTTTATCTCCTCCACAGCATGTCAGGAGACGGAGCTGTCAAATTTCTCCACCCCATAAACCCGACTGTGCCCCAGCCACTAACGAGCTCCCCGCTATTCCCCACTCATCAGCCTCATTAATTTTGCTCTCCTACGTCAAAGCCCCACCACCACCTTGGCCTGAACCATCCGTTTGTCCGTCCCACACACACCTGGGTGCTCAATGCTGCAGCCAGGACCCCTGGGGAGGCACCCCCAGCACCCAGGTGGGTGTTTTGTCACCAGGGTGGGGGTACCCAGAGGTTCTGGGTCACTTTTGCGGGGGACAAAGCAGTGGGGCAGGGGAAGGAGAAGGAGGAAAGTGGCAGGAGAGGAGGAAGGATGGAAAGATGGAGGGAAAGGGGATGGAGGGAGGAAGAGGAGGCAGGTGGGGGGGTGTTACCTGTGACAAGCGTCCGACCTCCAGGTAGAAGCAGATGATGAATGCGTTCCAGCCGACCCACAGCACCAGCCACACCGCGTACTGCCGAGAAGAGAGCTGGTCAGGGCATGGCATGGCAAGGGGACACCCCTGAGCCATCCCCTGTTCACTGGATCCCACCAGATCCACAGGGATTTGGGTTTGGATACAGGAGAGGACCTGGGGCTGAGGCTGAGGGAACTGGGGTTGTTGAGCCTGGAGAAAAGGAGGCTGAGGGGACACCTTCTGGCTCTGTGCAAGTCCCTGAAAGGAGGGTGGAGAGAGGTGGGGGTGGGTCTGTTCAACCAAGGACCAAGGGACAGGACAAGAGGAAATGGGCTCCAGTTGTGGTCAGGGCAGTTGAGATGGGATGTGAGGAAGAATTTCTTTGCTGAAAGGGATCTGAGGCATTGGAAGGGGTTGCCCAGGGCAGTGGTGGAGTCCCCACCCCTGGAGGGATTGAAGAGTCGTGTAGACATAGTGCTGAGGGACATGGGTTAGTCGGGGACTGGTCAGTGTTGGGTTCATGATGGGACTCAATGATTTTTAAGGGCTTTTCCAATCCAGGCAGTTCTGGGATTCTGGGGCTGAGCCCTCCCCAGGGATGATGATGCTGCAGGTGGGTGCAGGAAGCAGCATCTGTGGTGGTACCTACCATCATGAGGTATTTGGATCTGTACTGGATGGGCCCAAAAATACCCAAAATAACAGCCATGATGTGCAAAAAATTAGCCAGGATGGGTGCCCACTGGTAGCCCAGGAAATCAAAGATCTGTCTCTCCAGCGCCGCTACCTGCAAGAGAGCAAAGGAGGGGCTGTGGGTGTCACCGCAGAGGGGTTGTGGGTGTCACCGCAGAGGGGTTGTGGGTGTCACCGCAGAGGGGCTGTGGGTGTCAC